GTAATGTTCAGTTATGGAGGACACTGAGCCAGTGTGCTCACCATGAACACAATGTGAGTGATGTCATTGAGACTTGGGGGATCAGCAGTCAGACTGCTGAAGGGCTGGACAAGAGGACGCCTGGAGGATGCAGGTTGAGAGGATGGATGAAAGAGACCTTACTTTCAGGGATAAAAATATTCAAATCCAACAGGGATAAAGTACTGTGCTCTCTTTTATCCCATGTCTCAATCCATGTTGTAACCACCAATAGAAGGTCTTTAATGAGCGGGAACTTCACAGAGACACAGCACTCTCACACAGCATGTGGTTAAAACTGGTCTCTTTCTGGATGAACCCGTTTTGAAACCATAAATGTTAACTGGTAACACGTGGTAATTTAGTATTGCATCTCCTCACCTCCCCCAGGCCTCTGCTCCCTCCAAAGCCTTTGTTTACTCATTTACATACAACCTGATCGTGTGGAAAAACTGCTAGGCTGGAGTTCAGACAACCTGCATTCTAATTTCAGTCTGGCCACTTACTGTGCCTTTGTTAACTCCAGGAAAGCAACAACTTCTATGAGCTTCACTTTTCATTTTCTTTCTAAATTGGAGCTATACAAATGCTGACTATTTCAAAACTAAGAAACAATACAAACATAGGGTTTGCATTTGTGTAATTTAGAGGAGAGTACATTTTTATCTATTTTAGGAAACATTTGATATTGAGAAAAGTCATTTAAAAAAAAAATTTGGTTAGCTGCTGCCCGTAAGAACTTTGCATTTACCAAAGCAGTTCCGTTCTGAAATTGTGAATGTTTTCTTTTTCTCTAGCACTTGTTTCTAGTTCCATCGCAACAGTTACCACGGTGGTCCTTACAGTAGTTATTTCTACATAGCATTTTCCAAGTCTTCCTCATTAGAGTGCTTTTTAAAAAATTCTTGCAGTCTCACTCCGACTCTCATTACATGGTGGTGCTCCAGAAATGCAATTAATTAAGTCAGACTGGATTGTAAAATTTCCCAGATTTGGAGTTATTCTTATGAAGGCATGCCATCTGCTGGTTCCCTGGTGTATCTGTCAATTGGCCTGAATTCTTTCACCCACTAAATTAAAATTCACGTGGAAGCATTTGCGAGTTTGTGTGCTGGGCAGTTTTTCCACGTCCTTCCACTTCCCACTGCAGGTGCTATTCTTTCATTAAACCTGTCGAGGCTTCTTTTTCCTCCAACCTTCTTTTACCTGTTGGCTACTCTTAAAACCCGGAGAAACGGAATCTCTTGAGCCCTGGAGCGACCAGACCGATATAATTGGGCATGCTCAGTAGGCTGGTCTGATTTGGAACACAAAACATGTCTTGAACGAGGGCTTTTGATGCTGCCTGTTTCAGGACTAGCTGCATCTTCGTCCTAGCTTTACATTGGGAGATTGCAGCCTCTCCTACCGTCTTGGCTTTGACACTTTTTCATTTTATCCGTGTACCCAGTTTTGGAGCCAGCCCTCCAGGATCTCCTGGCCAATCAAGAGACCACACATTGTTGCCTAAGAGACCCCGGATGCCAGCGAAAAGATTTATAGACGGTGATTGGACTACTGGAAAGGGTGGGGGCTAGACAGAGTCAAAGACACAGCAGCTATGGCAACAAACTGCGCTAGAGGCTTGAAGAGAAAGACGAACTAAAAGAGGTGAGAACAGTGGGCAGTGCATGAAAAAGATGGAGATTCTCTTTCGAGAGCTCTCCTCTCAGATCCTCCTGGGCCTTTTACAAGCTTTGTCAGTGCCCCTGGGAATTAATACATCTTGCTCCGTTTCAGCTGCAGTTAAAGTGCCAGATGCTTCCTATTTATGAAATTAACGACCAACAAGTAATTATTTCTATGCCTATCAAGCACTAGCTCTTTGCATTTATTACAGTTTTTCCTTTGTTTCTAGTTGATTATAGATGAGTTCGTATTTAAATGTAAACATACCCTATTTCCTAATTATTTCCTGATGATATCTGATTTCCTTCTCTGATGGTACTGCAGTGTGCAATGGGTGAGCTGTGTATTGGCAGAGAAATTCAATCCTCTTCTGCTCTGTAAACTTCAAATAAAAATCCTATTATCCTGAGTCTGATCCCAGTGCTCAGTTTCTAATGTTTAGTTTTACTGTGCATTTCTGCTAGTTTTAATCCTTAAACCACTTCCCCTCCACTATTGTATTCATTCCCTCAGTTGATTTAACAAATATTTATTGAGCACCTGTTATGTACTACTGAGAGTAGGATTCAAGTGAGCAGTGTCAGAAAACCACATAGGCAAAGAAGCATCAGAGTTTCTTACTGTGTTCTCTGATAGGAAGTTCAGTGTGTCTGGGAAGGTGGTGCATGAAGGAGACAAAGGAGGATGAGGCTGAAAACGTAGGTGGAGGTAAATTCATACTGGACCTAGGTTTGCATGCTAAGGAGCCTGGATATCCTGTAGCCATTATCAAGCCTCTGAAGGTTTTTGATCTGAAAAATGATGTGATTAACTGGTCTTTAAAAAAAAAAACAAAACACTCCCTAACTAAAATGGTGGTTACCAAAGGCTGGGGCAGGGTGGTGCAGGGGGTCGGGGGAATGGGGAGATATTGATCAAAGGATACAAACTGTCAGTTATAAGATGAGTAAGTCCAAGAAACCTACTGTACAGCATTGTGACTATATTTAATAATAATGTATCATATGCTTGAATTTTGCTTAGACAGTAGATCTTAAGTGGTCTCACCACACAGCACACACAAACAGTAACCATGGGAGGTGATGGATATGTTAAATAGTTTGAGTGTAGTACGCATTTCACAATGTATATGTGTATTAAAACATTACATTGTACACCTTAAATATATACATTTTTATTTGTCAAAACAAAACAAAAACCTCTCTAATAGTAAAGTTGGATAATGGTGACAGTGTGAAGAATGGCGTCAAGATAGGATTGGAGGGGTGTAGCCTCTGGAACTTTACTAGGGGACGCATCCTTGCTGTTGAATGTAGAGCTAGAACCACACATTGGGGGCAAGGATCATCGGCCCTTTTTCCTTCCTTTTTATCCAAAGAAAAATTAAGGATGAACATTCAAGGGCAGCCATTAAGGGGGAAAGAGGTCACAGAAAAGCAACAGCAAGCTTTATATGTGGAAGGAGGGAAGACAACTTGTTCTGTGTTGTTTTTGTGTATGCTGCATATACATGTCTGAGTGGTCCGTACTGCGAACCTCTGTGGGTATACAGATGTGCACATTGCCCATCTTCTGGACTGGATGGAGGAGGAAAGAACTGTCAAAGGATAATGATGAAAGACAGGGAAGGACACCTCCATTTGCCTGCTGCAGGAACTATTAGTGAGAGGGCTGTTTCTCCTGGCCAGGCTCATCTCCTGGAAACATGCTTTCCTCGGGTTGATTTGAAGAAAGCCTAATTCGAATAATTTCTAGCTCTGAGGAACCAGGAAGAAGAAAACAACCAGTGCAGGGCCTTGAGGAGGCCCTAGAAAAGCTACGTTGTCCTAATTCAGAAATTGTGCCTGGAATCAGTCAGTTGTTTCCTATACAAACGGGGAGGAGAGAGAGTTCTTGTTTACAGCAGGAGTTTTTTTCCCTGGGGTGAGCAAAATTTTTTGCTCATGTGCATTTTTCTAGGGAGAAGATACATGGCTTTCATTTTATTCTCAGTTTTATGGCCCTCAAAAAAACAAGATTAAAAACAATTGGATTAAAGAGAAGAAAAGTCAAATGGAAATAAATAACAGTAACAAAAAAGAAATATATAATTTTTAACTGGGCAGATCTCGACTCAGTGACCATGCCTTGTGTCTGTAATTTTCCTGCTCACATGTACTTTTATAGCTGCCTATTAATAGTACTGTAATGAAATCATTTCTTATATCTTTTGCACCTTTGCTCTTAGGAGCTAAGAATGTGACAGCTGATCTGAGCCCCCTTATTCCAGTGGACTGGTGGCTGCAGGCAACTGCAGGAAGATATTGGCTATTGTTTAAAACCCAGAGGGTTTAAAACATTGGCTTTATCTTTAGCTATAACTTAAACCTGAAAGAGAATATTACATGTCAAATAAAAGCCTTAAGAATTTCAGATCCAGCATTTGGGGGAATCTTATATCTGTGAAAAACTAATGATTTTTTTTTTAAAAAATTGTCCAATATTTGCTGTTGTAGAATAATTTTGGGAGCCCATAGGTCAGGCAGGCACGTCCTGGCCCCCTCGCTCAGCTCTACTCTCTTGGCTATGAAACCCACCTTCAGAGAGGAAGGAAGACATAAACAAGCAGAAAGACTGAGGATATATAATGAAAATATCATCAGTTTGCTTTAAATATTTTTCACCTTAAAATATTTTGTTATGGTCCTTCAAAAGACAGGTTTTGAGGCACTCTATATATAAATGATGGATGTTCTAAGAAAGGCTGAAGGGAAGTTACTGCTTATGGAGACTCTGCCTGACCTTTTTTTCTCTAATATCGGCAACAACAGTTGAGGGTAGGTGTGTATATCCTTATTTTACAAATGAGGAAACTGAAGCTCACGTCTATTACATAACTTGCAAAACAGTTACACAGCTAGTTAAGTTTTAGAGCCAGGATCAAAACTGTAAGGTAAAAAAAAAAATTATTGCAAACAACAGAAATAGATTCTGGCTAATACAAGAAAAAAAAAAAAAGAAGGAAATTCATTGCAAAGCTATCAAGTGGCTCACAAAAGACAAGGAAAGACAAGGGGCTTCTGAGGGGTGAGGCCGCAAGGACAGCTTAACGTTCTGCTCGGAACATCAGTGGTACCGTAAACGAAAAGTCAGGGTAAGCCAGCATCAGTCAACTGGCCTACCTTGGTCTCATGACTGGGGAAGGGGAAGCCACCTTGATTAACCAACCCAACAGACTCTGAACAATGAAGGAAAAGGAATTCCTCATGGAAATTAGAGTTTTTTAATCAAAGGAAGGCATACATATACTGGGCATCTAAAAATAGCGTATTCCCACCAGGGGGGTCAAGGGGGTAGGAAGGGATAAACTGGGAATTTGAAATTTGTACCTCTTGAGGAGTGATGGAAATGTTAGCCATCTTGATTGTGGTGGTGATTTCATTGGTGTCTGCATATATCAAAATTCATCAAATTGTACATCTGAAATATGTGTAGTTGACTGTGCAGGAATCACACTATAATAAAAGTGTTAAAAAAAATTAAAACAGCACATTCCCCTAGTAAACCCAAATCTGTCCATCTCCAAAGGCTGGGCTTCGTCTCTTGCTTCGTTCTGCTTCTTAAATAGTGTATCAAGCTGGAACTCTTGTTATCTAGATGTCAGAAAGTTAAGAAGGGAGGAAGAAGGTCACAAGGGACAAAGATGGAGTGTTTTATATTGCACTGTGATTTTATAAATTAAAATACCTTCTTCTTTCTGGCCAATATGGTATGTTCTTAGCTAGAAGTGATTCTGGATTCCCCCCAACCCCCATGGTCCAATGAAAATAAAACAGAGTTAAACAGACCTAGGTCTGATTCCCAGTTCCAACACTTACTGTCTCTGTAGCTTTGGGCAGAGCATGTAACATCAATGAGACTCATTTTCTTCTTCTGTAAAATGAGCTAAACCTACCACCTCACCAGACCGTTATGAGTACTAATTGAGCATACATTATAAAGTACCTGACATATAAAATATTCCCAATAAATGTTATCCCCCCCATTACCTCTCCCAACGTACTAAAAGATTACATGGTATTAGTACTTTTAGTATTCTAAAGATTATATGATTAATTTCTTCTGTAGGTTTAGTTTTTCTTATGGAACAATATCCAGCTATTTCATGATGGCATTTGCACCTCCAAAAAACGTAGACGGTCCCAAAATGCAGACAAAGATGAGTACTTGGACACCTCTAAACCATCAGCTTTTGAATGACCGGGTAAGTGACCAAAGCGCTATTTTATCAGTTGGAGCTGTGCCTTAAAGGGAAAAAAAAACTATTAAAATTTTAGTTATCAAAATAGGAACAGAAATTGTTAGGATTGTATAATTGATAAAAAAACAAGATGAAGGATTTTTTTTTCCAAAAACTTTAATTGAATCCTTGCTACATGGGCAAGGTTGGCAATAGTTTCTGCCCAGAAAGTAATGTCATAGATTTCTCTTTCCTCCACTGTCACTGCTCCTCTCTCTTCCACTGTCACTGCTCCTCTCTCCCACCCCAAATGCCTTTTTTTTCTTCTGTCGCTAGTTCTTTGCTGAAACCAATAGGAATGAGAGACAAGAGGGTGCTCTGTGAGGAGTTCCCTCCAAAAGAGGTTTTCTTACTAGAGTTGAGGCTACTAGGTAATGCTGTAAATTTAACCAAATAAATAAAATAAGTAAATCTCAACTTACTGCTCACATTTCTTAGGATCTTCTAAGAAGTTTGTTCCCCCCCTATATTCTGGGGGGGGGGGCACTAGCAGAAGGGACCAAACAAAGCATGGCAAAGTTGGGAAACTGAGTATCATACTGGCATATGAGACTGGCCAAGCTCTGGGGATTTCTACTCCTGCTTCATTTAGGGGCAGAATTTCCAGCAGGTCTGTGAGCTCCTATTAGTACATACAAGGACCACATCTAGTTGGCAGTAAGTTACAATCAACATCAGTAAAACTGACCTCATTATCTTGCTACCATATTCCAGTTCCTCCCACCAGTAAAAAGCACCACTTTACACCAAGTCACTCAAGCCAGACATCTTCCTTCTCCCTGTTGGGTCTGGAATTTGACCCAGGCTCTGGGATTTCCCCCAGTTTACAGGCTTATAATTTAGCCTGTGACTATGGCAAAGAAGATGCTACTATTTCCACAGTAGGAGACACGAGATTCTTGGGTCAGAGACAAAGAACTTTATTACTTGCAGTGCAGCAAGCAGCATAAGCTTGGGTTCTCTTGCCCATCTTTTCCCGTGGGGGTGATGCAGAGGATGCGGATAAATACTGCACACACACTGTGTTTGCATCACAGCTGAGGAACAATGAGTCCAGGGAATCCCCTGCTTTCATAATAAGCAGTAAACAATAGTACTTTTCATCCCAAAGAGTGTTAGTACCACATCTCTCAAGGTTCCTTACTGCCAATACAACCTGGAGAAATGGCCCAGGAAAAGAGCAGTCAGGGCCTTGCATTCCTGGCATTCCAAGACATGTAGGAGATGAGAGGTCTGGGGAGGAGTGTCTACCAGAACCCCCTCACCTCCACATCCAATTCATTTTCAAGTCTTAAATGAATCTTCTTCCTCGGTCTCTCCATCTGGATCCCTTTTCATTCACCTGGGTACCTCCAGCTCCACACTCTCCATTCACACCCTCATCACTCTTTACCTGGCACATTGCAATAACCCCCCCAACTGGTTTTACTGCCTCTATCCCTAGCAGTCCATCCTCTATTCTGGTTCCAGAATGATCTTTCTAAAGCACCAATCTAATCCTTTTATTTAAAATTAATAACAGGCTGCTCCAAAGGATAAATTCCAACCTCCCACGCACAGCACTGAGGACCCTTCATGAGCTGACTCAACCAACCTCCCAGCTCCAAGTCCTGCCTCTGCTTCCTCTCATCCTACACCCAGGCCGAGCTAAGTGGCCCCCACGAGCCATGCTCTCTCATGCCTCCACGCTGTTGCAGTGTGCTCTTCATTGCCTTCTGCAAGAGTCAACTCAAATGTCACTTCTCAGAGAAGCCTCCTCTGGCTTAATTTTCTTTGTTCTCATCCCTGTTTACCAGCTTCCCCACTTGACTCTTAGGTGTTAAGGGTTGCGATTTTGTCTTTTATCTCTGCATCTCCAGTGCCTGGTATGTCTCTGAAGCACAAGAAATGGAGTCAGAGATCGGCTATACTCCCTGAGACCCCCTTCATGGACTCATCTTTTTGTCCCCACTCCTCTCCTTCCTGAGCCTGGATTTGACCCTTTGCCTCTCTGAACTAACAGATATGCTCATTGCTCTGGCAAAGCTGGAGCATCCATCCTAGCCCCTCACTCTACGTACTTTCCTATTTCTCCTCCTCTGATGCAAAACATGAGCAAATCTGAGAGAGACAGAGGAGCCAGCTTCGCGATCAGAATAGTGAGAAATAAAAGGGAGGGAGACTGAAAAGGAAAAAGATAAAGGAAGTGAGGAAAAAAGAGTGAGAAATGGGGGAAAAAGAGGCACGAGGAAAAACAAAAGGAGAGGCACAGAAAGAGAGAAATCCAGCCTTCATCAGGTCTGACGAACAAGCAAGTCTATCGAAAGTCTTTTTTATTCAACTCAACAGTTACTTATTGAGTACCTGTTTGCAATGCTCTTTGCTCTCCAACAGTTTCTGTAACAGCTTCTCTGCTTCCCCCCTCCAGAAAACTCTAGTGCTTGGTTTTGAAATCTGTTTTCCCATAGAATTGTAAAGGTTTTACCCATGTGTGAAAAAGTGACTTGAACTGAAATACGTATTTGTTAGATGCCTTGATTTTCAGAGATTTTCTTTGAAAAATTCGAAGTCTTGATCGATTTAGCAGCCATGGAGAAAAAGTATCTTAAGGGTCTGATTGCCTGCCACAGGTTGGGTTCCTAGTGAGGCAGACTCTCAGATTGGTGTGTAGGGCATTGATGTGGGAGGGCTCTTAGGATCAAGACCTAAGAGGCAAGGGAAGGACAGGGCTTAGATATGGGGCAGAGGAAGAAACCAGGCTGTCAGGCAGTTGCAGCGAGGCCTCCGCAGACACCACAGGACACCCTGAAGACCCTCCGAGTCTTGCGCCACGCTGACCATGTGGCGGATGGGATTGTGGCGAGGCAGATCTCGTGAGCTCCTGGCTATCAGCCAGCAGCACTCCTAACAGTTGAGGGAGTAAATGCTTCAGTCCTGGAGGTGGATCTGGTCAGTGCATCACAGTGAGCATGCCATGGCCTTATCTCAGTTCTTGAATAGCTTTTGTCAAATTTCATGATAATTTCTAGAGATAGTATTTATTTTGTTGTTCACAACTCCCATTTGATTCCAAAAAATTTATTTTAGTTCAGTTAGGTTCTAGGTTGGAGTAAAATTATTTTTAAAAATCTTGGCATGTGTATGTACCCATCTGTGTGTGCGCTAATGGACATAGACACACCCTTGGAATATGCATATGCATATACCACATTATTAATAGTGGTTGCCCCAAAGAGTTGGGTGGCATAGGAAAGTGGGAGGGAGGTCTATTAGAAGAGAGAGCTCTCGGAGGAGGGTATAGCTCAGGGGTAGAATGTGTGCTTAGCATGCACGAGGTCCTGGTTTCAATCCCCAGTACCCCCATTAAAATAAATAAATAAATGAACGTAATTACCCCCCCAAAAAAGAAAAAAAGTTTTTAAAAAGCTCAAGAAAGCTCTTATTTTTTACTTTATACAGTGCAATAATATTTCAAATTTTAAAACAATTTGAAAACATATATAAATAAAAGCAAACGAAGAAAAATAACTCTGAGAATTGAAAACACAGATTCCAGATCAGCTTTTTGACTAATTTCCTGTGTGACTTCAGTAAGTCACTGATGTCTCTGGTCTTTACTACCTTCCTTCGAAAAATGAGTAGGTTGAATCAGACCACCTCAAAGTTCCCTTCCCATTCTGACTGTGTGAAAGGGATTAAAAATAAATGCCCAAGAATACAACTGGTTTCAGAAGATGTCCATACAATAGTTATAAGGACTTTTCTGCACTTCTGCAACCAGGCATGTGTCACGAATGATCAGTGTAATTTTGAGGTTCTATTTTTGGTTTTGGTTTTTGATTTTGCCTTTTTTCTACTCTACAGTAAAACTGTGAAGTATGTAGCTGTTTCAGACTGAAACAGAATCATAGGATTTTAATTTCACAGCAGGCTCTAAGCAGAGATGAAATTCAAATGTAGACGCCTAAAAAAAAGTAGCATCATCAGTTTAGGAAAATGTAGCAGATTAGAAAATAATTCAGGCATTGTGAACTTTGAGAGGCGAATATTTTAAAAGTATGCATTTCTTTGCCATCCAGTGTTTTAATTGAAAGTGATCAACACTTCTTTTGGAGTGTGGTACACACGTCTAGTTCAGTACATGTTAAAAGGATGTTCTGAGAAAAAGCACCTGATTACCATCCATCAGTCATCATTTAGGAGCCCCCAAATGTCTTACTCCTACACTGTAATGATGTCACATGGTGCAATATGTAACTGCAGTGTCAACAGACTAAAATGTCAACCGTGGGATTTTGACATGACAGCATGCTCTGAGTAAACTGTGATGTAAACAGACTGCAGCATTCTGCAAGGAAAAAAAAATCCATTCTAATATTTCCACCTGAAGTCATACTGTTTCCCAGCTCTTTAAGATGAAAGACCTGATTGCAAATCTTTGGAGCAAAGACTTGCTCCAAACCAGAGAATACATGATTCTGAGTCTGACCAAGGACCTGACAATGAAATTTGTCCCCACTAACATTTCTTGTCGAGGGTACAGTCAGAACCAGATCTGAGTTTATCTGGCATGTCTCCTCCCCCTCTGCACTCCCATCCATTTCTACTTGGGTCTAAACGCCTTTTGGTGAAGAACTGGATTTGCTTAGCTCCTACTTAGTCTTGGTCATTGGCCCTCTAAAGACCCCACCACCCACCCTATTCCTTTCTGGCCACCTTCTTGCTAACTCTCTTCTTCCCTTCAAGTCAGTGCCCCTTTCTTACCAACGCCCCCCATTGTCATTGGACACCATGGTGGTCATCCCAGCCTCCTTTTGAAAGGAGATTGTGGTCTTGGGACCTTTTATCTTCCCACTGTCAGGCCAAAGCATTGGCAGCAGTTCAATGAGAATGTAGGGCTGGAAGTCAGGGAACAGCAGGGTTCTAGTGAAGAACCAGGTTCAGAGTTGAGCTGCACAGACAGTCTGGAACCAATGATTTTTTTAAAAAATCTATAAATGTAACCCATTTGGGCCTTGTTTATCCTCTCTAAAATAAGGGAATTGAACAAAAAGATCTTAGGATTCCTTTGAGCACTGAACTTCTATGACTTCTGAAGTCAAAGCCAAAGCTTCAGAAATCATAGACATTTTGTTGCTGTTCAGTCAGCAGGTGTTTATTCAGGGCTTGCCATCAAGACTGCGGAGCATAGAAGACAAAGTGGTTGTAATCTGCATGGGAAGATGAAAGGAACAGGACCACGTGGAGAGCAAATAGCAAACCCAGTAGTCCAGGCGGAGCGTGGGCTATAGGTGGCATATGGAAGGAGCCAGATCAGTGGGCATCAGCAAAGTGCTGGTGCCAGTGACCAGGATTGGAAATTAGATGATTGATAAGATTTACTTAGATACAGGAGAGTTCAGGAAATATTCAAATCCAGATTTTTGAGTCTTCTGTATTCTATAGGTTCTCTCCTTTTTTCATCTAGAAATTGTGAGTTTATCTGTTCCTGTTATTTGACAGCCTTAGTAGCCCAGGTGGCAGTTAATTGGGGGGAGGGGAGAAGGGTATTCTTTTTCTTCTTCTCTAAAGTACAGAATATGTCTACCTGTGATGTGTGAGATTCTACGGTTGGTATCAAAGATGACCTTTTACAGGCCTTGAGGTTGTTGTTGAACCAATTATTTCAGTCTCCGTTTTGAATGCCCTTTGAAGCTAGAGTTTGAGAGTCTAAAAACGAGAAGAAAGCATTATCTGCTGGAAGCACAAAGCCAGCTTCTCATCCTCCTCCACCCAAAAGGGAAGAAATAGGCCTGAGCTACTTTCCAAGTAGGAACATTTGACAGTGCTAGAGAATTTAGCGCCAAGAGGAAGGGGGAAACACCGAGCCCGGTTCTGAAAGCTGCCGGAGGGTGTGTGTGTGGGAGTGAGAGAGACGTTCACATCTGTTCATGACTCTCTCTTGCTTCCTCTCCCCAGAACTCGCTCCCCTGCCAAGCACTCTCACACCTAGTTGTCCCTCCCTCGCTCATTCAAATACACAAATGATTAATTCTCAGAAAATCACCTCTTTACCAATATATAAATACCACTCACATTGTGCCGAGGTGCACACACACACAAATTTCTAAACTACAGGCATATGTCATGTATACCCACTGATACATGTCCACATGGAGATGTAAAAACGGAGCCTCTCCCTTGCAAATTTCACAAGTTCTCATACTCTTGATGTTGAAATATTTGGCAGGAGGTTCTCCATTTTCCTATTTTTTTCCTTTGTCAGTTTTTGCATCTCCTTTCAAATTCTAAAAATGATTTCACTTTACAAGTCCGTTCTTTTCCTATGTCTTGCCTTTAAGAAAAATGATTACTTCTTTAAGGTGAGTTATCCTACATGGAGGAAAAAGAGAAACTTTGCCCAAGTTCAAAATCATAAAGTACCTTCTCAGGTATAAAATCTGTCATTTTGCACTCAGTTGATATAATGAAAAGACTGCCCAGTATTTACTTATTGATACTTTTTTGTAACGGTTATTTTGAACCATGAAATATGAAGTCATTCCATTCTTTTTTTATTTATTGTAGGTATTTGAAGAAAGAAGAGCCCTGCTTGGAAAATGGGTAACTGTTTAAAGTATACTTACTTTTTTATTATGTTACATCATCATAGAGACCAAAGAATTCAGTGTGTACATAAGGTAATGCGTGATTGCTCATTGCCTGGGAAGTTTGATGGGTATTTTCTGTATATATCAGTTAGGGTTCTGTCAGAAAAATAGAAATCATACCAGTTATTTTAACAGACACAATTTAATGAATAGAACAGGTTAAACAAATACTAGAAAAGGCAAAAAGAGAACACTGAGGTACCACTGAGGTACCATGGAGATAGAGATGCAGGAAGTAGCTATGACCAGCTTCACTGATACCTCAGGAGCCCAGAGAGAGGACTCTGGAGCTGGGACCATTCTTCTAGAGGACTTAGACGTCTAAGGAGTAAAAAGTAGAGGTTTCATGTCCGGCTGATGTTGATATATTTGAGGAAGCATGGTTCTGGGAGTGTGGAAAAAGCAGGGTACAGGAGTCGACTGCAACGGCCAGGGTGAAGACTTAGGGGGATAGTGCGAGAAGCAGCAAGGAAGCAAAGGAGTAAGGTTCTACTTTCTCAGTTTCCTTCTAATGCCCCACTTCCCACCGGCAGCATTTAACCAAGAGCCAACTGTCAAAGGAGAAATATGGTTCACAGAGCCCCAAGCTCCCATGTCCACAGAGTATAGGAAGGTGGGTTTGGATCTGAGAAATGATGGCTAAAGAACCAGCATGGTCCGTCCACTTAACCACTTAACATCCATCTACACCCCTCATGCGTATACTTCAACTTGCAAAGGAGAACCGTAACAACTTTATGCTCTTATCTAACAAGATACAACTATCCTTAGTACAAATGAAGACTTTCACACTCTTCCTCAAAGGAAACACAGAGTCTCAGTGATTGTTGTCCATCCCTGAGTCATCCCTCTCTGGGCAATGTGTCTTACTCATCAAATTCCTCTGGAGTGTCACCTAATAGTCTCTTCTACCCAAGAGGATTGAAAACATGGTTATGCATGTTTATCCAGACTAGAGAAATATTCACAGGGGACATGAAAAAACATGCACAAATATTTTGCAGTGTGTGTATGTGTATGTGTGTGTGTGTGTGTGTGTTGGAAACATCCTAAATGGTATCAGTAGCAATTGAATAAATAGTTGAATAAGTAGATTATGGCATATGCATCCTACTGAGAATGACTGGAGAAAATATGCACCAGAGTTCATTGCATATCAGGACATTTATGGCTATATATATATGTGTGTGTGTGTGTGTGTATATATATATATATATATATATTTTTTTTTAATAGAGATACTGAGGATTGAACCCAGGACCTCATGCATGCTAAGCATGTGCTCTACCACTGAGCTATACCCACCTCCCTCGTTTGTTTTTAAACTGTTGGGTATATTCCATGGGATGGGTATACTCTTAATTTATTTAACTGCTTCCCTATTGATGGATATATGTGTGTGTGTGTGTGTGTGTGTGTGTGTGTGTGTATGTATATGTAAATACATAGAAATGCTTGAGCATCAAACTGCAAATGGTTATTACCGGGGAATGGAGTGAGATTTGATTGTGAGGAATCATAATGGATTTTCACACTTACTTCTGTAAGTGCCTATTTAAAACTTTTAAAACAATAATGTATTCATGCTTTAATTGTGAGATTAAGTGTTTGATCATAGGATTCAGAAACTCAACCAAGTTAAGATTATATAACCAATAAGGAAAAAATAAGAAGTGTCTTTCTTCATCTCGTCCCCACACCCCGGGAACTTTCCTTGTCATTCAGTGTGAGATGAGAGGCACTAGCCACCGTCCTCACTTCCTGAAAGTACAGCAAGAATCCTTGTAACAACTACTCTGAAAAGAGGATTTCACAATTCTCTCCAGAAAGCCCTATAAAAAGACATTTAAAATAATTATAAAATAGAATTCTACTAAATGATATAAGACAGTATAACATAGCGTAATATAACATAATGCAATATAATATGTAATATTAAAAAGGAGGATTTCACAATTCTCTTGGCAAGAAAGCCCTATAAAAAGGTATTAAAGTAGTTATAAATTAGGATTATATTATATGATACAAGATAGTATAGTAGAATATAATATAATACAATATAATATATAATATTCAAAAGGAACTAACTGTGAAGTAAGGTACCGTAATGATACCAGGATAGAAAAATGGTCCTAGCTGCTCCCCAGTCTCACACATCAGATCCCTGGCTACACTGTTAAGGCTATTTTCACTTGAGAGGTGATGCAAGAGAAACTGGGAGATTACCAAATTCCTGTACAGTTAGCTCCTCCAGGGATTATTTACTTTTTGGATTATTCCTAGCGCCTTTTAAATTCCAAAGGGATTTCCCCCCAACTGTTAAGCATTCTTGTGAGTCACCTACCCACCTTCAATTGGTAGGAGTTCAAGGAATGCAAATTCGTTTTCTATTAGCCTAGATAAACACAATTAGAAAGGAAAACCCCTCCAGGCACAGAACACCTATCAAAGCCAAATATAAATTACCTTTGACGGTTGTAATCAGGGAAATAAATGAAGAAACAATGTAATTATCTCTTTAATCTCTAGAGGAAAAGGTTTTAATGTTTTCTTTTATGGATTTCTTCAGCATTTTATAATACTAATGTTCTTTTATATTCATTTTAAATCACTTGTTCTTCAAGCTGAGGTCGTTCTCTTTTTGTGGGCACCAAGGAAAGCAAATGAGCTAACCTCAGCCGTTCCAAACATACTTCCCATCCTTGTCAGTGTACAAACAGGGTGATCTCATGCCTTTTAACTGTTTGCATATCTATTCGTTTTATGTTGGTTTATCTCATGTGCTTATTGTTTTAACATCACCACGTTATTTTATAATATTAGCTGCTGTGTCTACAATGAGTCATTTACTCAATTAGGATTTCTATACACATATTGTTTTATTTAATCCTCAGAACAGCCTTACAATTGGGGTATGATTATTCTTAATGTATAAATGAAGAAATTAAGAGGTTGTTAGTGGTAGAGCTGGGATTTATTCATTTATTTCCGAAGCGTATTAGAAATAATAGAATGTTGAAAGGGAGACTCCTGAGGGCCTCATTCCCAAACCCACCATCCATCCATAATGCCATACTTTCTCCTCTCATGTTGATACATTAGTTTGCTTAGCTGGTCCACTATTGTTAGGCATTTGCGGTTATTTCTGATTTTTTGCAGTGATAATAATATCACATAAAAATTTCTTTGTAACCTTAATCATCCTGGGTCCCCAAGTAGCTCAGTTTCTAGAAAGCTACAGAGCACTGCCCAAAAGTCATTTTTAAAAATGAATACCAATCTTCATTTTGTCTCTCAAAGGAATCACAGGGGATCCAATTCAAAACTCATAATGGTGCTTCTCAGCTCTCCCTCCTTCCTTCCCCAGTTCCCTCTCACTCTGTAACTGCTACAAAGTCAATTAGAGTCTGAGCCCCAAAGTCCCTACAAGCGCAAGCTCCACCGCTCTTCTGTCTCCATACGCCTCCCCACTGGCTCTTCATTTTATGGGTCAGTGCAGCTTCCTGGGCCCTGGGCTCAGCCATTCTGGTCTGGCTTCTCTCTGTTTATTTTAATAATCCATCCCCAAAGGAGAGAAGTCTCTGGGAGTTGTAGATTATGGATATGCAGAAACAGGCATAAAAGAAATCTGGGAACACTCACATGAATACATTTTATTCATTTGTTTGTAAGTTAAGGTTTTTGGTGGTTTTTTTTGTTGTTGTTGTTTTTTAGAATTCCTACCCCCCACCCCTGCTCTTGAATTAGTCTCCAAAGTGAGATTCTTGGGTCACTGAATAGATCTGTCACAGTGCATAGTTTTAATCAAGAAGTATTCCTTCTAATTTAAAAAATACATCCTATGATTATAAGGAAGTTGACTTGTCATAAAGCTTATAAAAATACATTTTTGCTTTATATGCCTTTTTAGGTGGTCAGTGTATTTTATGATTGCAACTAAAGTGCATTATAAAATTCTGATTACTTTATAATAACTAATAAATATCTATCTGTGAAATGTGCTAGTATACAAATACAAGTTGCCCCAAATTTCTCTATTTTCTCTTCTCTAGTGGAGAAAAGTGAGATTTATACCCTGCTAATGACTCCTTCAGCTGCTAGGTGTTCCTATAAGAACCTTTCTTTTGGTTTTGGCCAGCCCTCAAGTTCTTCCCTCTGACATGTCACTGATCTTGGAACTGGTCTGGGGTTATCTCTGCCGAAAATTGTGAAGTAACCGAAGCTTTTGTTTGGCATGCCCCGGGTTGCTTTGGCATGTACTTCCTGTCTCTGGCACTCTTTTTTCCCAGGTCCCCCATCAGCGTTTCCTCTCCAGTCATATCAATCATTTACATATTAGTAGGACTTCAGCCCCACATGCTCCCCTTCTCAGGAATATGTGCTCCTTATACCTTATCTCCAATGTGAACACAAAGGTTTGTTTCTGGTCCTGGAGTTTTAATCACTAATGAGCTAATACAGAAACTCGGGGGGTGGGGAGAGGCTGCCCAGGCGTCTTCTCTTGAAGTTGTACAGACAGTCCCCGACTTAGGATGGTTCCACTTAACGACTTTTCAGCTTTATGATGGTACAAAAGTGATAGACATTCAGCAGAAACCATATTTCAAACTTCAAATTTTGTTCTTTTTTCAGGCTAGCCATATGCGGTAGGATTCTCTCTTCTGATGCTGGGAAGCCCCCAGTTAGCCATGTGATCACGAGGGTGCACAACAAATACACTTACAACCATCTGTACCCAGACAGCCATTCTGGTTTTCACTTTCAGTGCACTGTTCAATAAATTACATGAAATAGTCAACACTTTATTATAAAACAGACATTGTGTGAGATGATTTTGCCCAACTGAAGCCTAATGTTAAGTGTTCTCAGCACGTTTAAGGTAGACTAGGCTGAGCTCTGATGTTTGATAGGTTAGGTGTATTAAATGCACTTTCGACTTGTGATATTTTAACCTATAATGGGTTTATCAGGATGTAACCCCATTATAAATTGAGGAAGAATAAATGACTAAACTCACTTTCTGTGCCATTCTTATCTCTTTTAACAAATAACAAATAACAAATCTCTGGTAGCAGACTAAACCTGGAGTTTATTTTCCCTTTTGCTTTTTTTTTTTTCCAGTTTGACAAATGGACAGACTCTCAAAGGAGAAGAATCCTGACAGGCCTGTTAGAACGCTGCTCCCTGTCACAGCAAAAGTTCTGCTGTCGAAAGCTTCAGGAAAAAATTCCAGCAGAAGCGCTGGATTTTACTACCAAGCTTCCTAGGGTGTTATCTTTATACATCTTTTCTTTCCTGGACCCCCGAAGCCTTTGTCGTTGTGCACAGGTGAGAACGATGAAGCAGTATACAGCATTTTGTAAAGGCAACCTAGAAAATTCTGAAACTTGAGGGAAAAAAACATACACACTCACAGAACCAAGGAGTCGATGAGATGGTCAGTATGTTTGGTCTGTACAGTTTGAATTAATCTCTGTCTCCTTTGTGTCTAACTCTGCATTTGGCGCTCAAAAGAGGAAAATGTGTAAGACACCACTACTGTCCACAAAAAAGTATCAGCTAGTAGGGGAGACAAAGACACACATGGATAACGTCGTCAGCTGAGCAGTCTTACATTATGCAGCACAGAACTACAGCAAAATCCTCAAGTAGACAGCGCAGGCCATTCATAAATAGAAAAACTCAAAATAAGGTGCTGATGACATAAGCACAAAACAATGTGAGACTAAAAGAGTTCAGAGTGAGCAGATGTGCTCATGGGGGTGAGGGGCAGGGGCTGGGGCTGGAAAAGGATCTGACCATTATTTTCTTACAAGTAATTCCCTGGTATATCAAAGTGTATTATTTAAGGTGTAAAACTGGTAGTCATTTTGTTGATTCTTTTCATAGAATCTAGTAAGAACGCAAACTACCTTGTTACCCTACGTTCGCATATGTGTAACATGTTAGCTTTAGTTTTTTAAGTTAAAGAAGTGAATGCAGTAAGATAGATAAATTATTCAATAAATGATCGGGACAGTTGGGCGGCTATCTAAAAAAAAATTCTAGAAGAATAAAAGATTGACGTGAAATTAAAGGAAACCATTAAAGTTCTCAAAGGAAACATAGGGAAGGAGGCCTTTTTGAGTATCCTATAATACTTAGGGCTTCAGAAGAAAATATATAACTTAAAATCTTGCTTCATGTGTTTTATATTTTATATATATTTTATATATATATATATATATTATAAACTAGCATAAAGAAAGCAAGACTTCAAATTGTGACTATAAAAATTAAAATTTTCTCCATGGAAAAGAACACCCACCATAAATAAAACCAAACAGTAAACAGGGAAAAAAATATATTGCCAGCAAAGGGCTAATTTTCTTACTTTTAGAAGAAATACTATAAATCTATATTAAGGGGGGAAAAAAGATCAAAACCCAGCAGAAAAATGAGCAAAGGCAGTGAATAAGTAGTTCACAGAAAGAAAAGCAGACATTGCTAAAATATGTGAAATGCTTAGCCTCATTATCATGCCATCCTTCATGACTCAAATTGACTGAGTTATTTTTTTTTAATGGAAATATTCTATCTTGGCAGAGGCGTGGGGAACAAGCACTTTCGTATATGGCTGGCAGATAAATTGATACAGCCACTGTGGAGAACAGTTTGGTAGTAGTCAGTTTTTAAATAAAGATTCCCTTTGCCTCAGCAGTTCCATGTCTTGGAATTTGTCTGATGGGTATACTTCAACACATGCAAAAATTGTGTCTATGTAAGAATATTGCAGCTTTGTAGTAGCAAAAGGTTGGAAACAATGGAAATGTCTACTGTTAGGGGACTAGTGAAATAAATTGCAGCCATCTCCAAGATACATATGTCATCAGTGAGAAAAGCGAAGGTACCAAGTTTTTGTACCATTTTGGAAAGAAAAAAAAGAATATATCCATATGTGTTATATTCTGGAATGATACACAAGAACCTGGTAACAATGGTTACATCTAGGAAGGGAAATGAGTGGCTAGATGGCAGGGGTGAGAGAGACTTCCTTTTTACTGTGTGTCCCTTTGTGTCTTTGAATTTAGTATTCATGTACACATATTATTCCAAAAATGAAATAATTTTTCTAAAAAGCACAGCATTTTAAATGTCCAAAATAGAGTATCATACAGCCATATAATGAAATATTATGCAGCTGTTACAAAACATGTTTTGAAAGAACAGATGTGCTTATTATATGTAAAATAAAGAAAGCATGATTTTATTTTTATTTTTTTAAATTGGAGCACAGTCAATTACAATGTGTCAATTTCTGGTATACAGCACAGTGTCCCAGTCATGTATATACATAATATATTCATTTTCATATTTTTTCTTTGAACATTATTACAAGATATTGAATATAGTTTCCTGTGCGATACAGAAGAAACTTGTTTTTTTAAATCTATTTTTACATATAGTAGCTAACATTTGCAAATCTCAAACTCCCAAATTTATCCCTTCCCACCCCCTAAGAAAGCATGTTTTTAAATTGTATACAGTTTCCCGATTTTGTTCCGTATGTGCCTAGAAAACAGATGGAAGGGAAAAGAACTCTATCAGGTTGTTAATAATGATCACCTCTGATTGATGGGAGTTACGGCTATTGTTTTTTCCTTCAAGCTTTTCAGAATTTTTCATGATTTTCCACAATGAGAATGTCATCACTCCAGGGAAACATTATTTGAAATAGCTGAACCTATCATCCACAGGCAACATGTGTCAATCTTGCAAGATTGTATTTTATTCCCAGGAACAACTGTGAGCAGACACAGGCAGTAGTTATTTGTCCAGATTTAAAGCAAACAATGAAATCATTGCACCAAGATGAGCTTTGAGCAGTTTAACAATACGGAAGGGGAATGTCTTACAGTTTTGAAAGCTCTTACCTACCCTTCAATTCTAGTCATTCCTGCTTAGTTTAAAAACAACAAACAAACAAAAAACACTGAAGAGAAAAAACAAAACCTTATCTACCCTGGAGTTGGGGAAACCACAACTTAAATACCCAGGTCTAAACAAGATCTAAGAAAAAAGAAGGAAAGAACTGAGAAACTTCTCTCCCCAGCCCCTCCCTCCTAAACCTCACCTCTTGACTGAATTCTGAGTTAACTAACCGTATGGGGATTAAGGTGGGTGTAGTTTCATTTCTGGGTTGAACAAAGTAGATGTGATTCCTATTTCTGCCTGCAGGGCTCTATCGGACCCATCAACCTTTTTCCTCCTTCCAACCTGTGATTTCTTCTAACTGTGCCTTCTTCTGTATGCCTCTCTCCTGCACATCTCATCTTTAGCACGTGAAACAATGCTAAACATAATAGGAACACAGTACATGATGGATGGAAGGAGGGAGGGAGATAAATGGATGTATGGGTAGCAAATTCCATTATAGAGCATTCTGCTTATTTTTTTGGCACTCAAACATTGTTCATTATTTGGTTAATCTTGAAAAAGAGGCCAGTTTTCCAAGGATGAAACTTGAATTTGAAGGTTAGATGTCATCTTTGCGACTCTCATGGTAAGAGACATAGAATGCCTAGTGTCAGCTTTACATATGAGCTTGACTGTAGTTTCTAACAAGACTTATTCAAAACCTGAAGTAAATTACCATAAATACTACTACACATAGTAGGGTCACTTCCACCATGTGCTGGATGTGTGGGATTGACCATGATGCTGTGGAAGTGGAATGTACAGAACAAATTCTTAATGCTGTATTGTATCTTAAAGGTTGTTTAGGACCTGCCAATGTAGTATTAGCAACTGTATTCCCTTCATAAAATTTATATTTAGTTAAAAATGGAGGAAAAATGGAAACACATCATGAGAAGAATAAGCAATGTGCAGACCTGAGTTTCTGTACCCTTCATATAGCTTTCATACGGAGACCTTCAGGAGCCTTTAGGATGTCCCAAAGTCTATCCGAGCCTCAGCTTCCTCATTTGCAATATGAGAATAATAATTATGCTTCCCTTGAGAATAATAATTATGCTTCCCTCCTTAGTTTGCTATGAGGATGGTTAATAGGCGCTCAGTAAATATTAGTTTGACTCTGATTCTAAGTCTGAATTAATATTTTTTTAAAAAATCTGTCTGCTTGGCTAGGAAACACTTCAGGTAGGAGGTAACGAAGCTGTGATTTAGAGGAAAAGGACAAAAAAGTGATCTCAGTTCAGGGTGACAGTTCAAAACCTAGAGAAAGCAGGCATGTAAACTGAATAGAGTTTTTTTTTTTTTTTCAATTGTTTTTTTCCAGGTGAGCTGGCATTGGAAGAACTTAACTGAACTGGATCAGCTCTGGATGCTCAAATGTTTACGGTTTAACTGGTACATCAATTTCTCTCCGACTCCCTTTGAGCAGGGTATATGGAAGAAGCACTATATTCAAATGGTGAAAGAGCTCCACGTTACCAAGCCCAAGGTAAATTTGGGGAAGGAACCAACAAAATTACAATCAGCTTTTTGGGAATTCTAGAACTAAGACAAAGTGATCAAACCGGAAGTTGGGGGAGGCAGTTGGTTCAAAGCAAAGATACTACGACTTCAAAATTCTCCTCTTCTGAGAACTTGACAACCCTTTTCAAGATATCCACTTTAGCTGAGAGCTGTCATCTGATACTCCCCAACCGCGGTTCCCACCCAGGTCAGGACTCTGCCCAGACTCCTGGATTTCTGTGTCTCTGACTCCTGCACCACACGGTCCTGACACTGGGGCTCTGTGGGCAGTGTGCAGTATTTATTACCTACGGGTCATCAAATTTTACTTAAACAATTGACATTTTCTATGATTCTACTAGACAAGCTGAAGTTTATTTTTGTATCATTTGTAAAGAAAGGTTTTTCTAATAAATCAGTAATTAGGGAAGGGCATCACGGGCACATTAAAGTTCTTTTTAAGCTAGAAGCTAGCAATGTAAAGCATTCACATAGACTCATAAAAAGTAATGTGAGCATAATTTTTTCTAGTGGTTTTCTACACATTATAACCAATGTTTATATTCATTCTTATAATCACAGTTAATTAGATAACTTATGGGAGATTTTTTACGAGCCTTTTCTTTATGATGTGATCTATACACATGCAGAGTTTTGCACAATAGATGAGCTCCTGAAAAATTATATGCAAATTTTAAAATGTTCAATGATTTTTAAAACCACAGGGGTTTTCTGTGAAAAAGCTGCAGTGAATCCTTTTCAAACTGAAGAATCCTTTTGGAATATGCATAGTCAACTCCTAACATGCTCGTTTAAGTTCAGTTTTATTGTGTTTGCTCAAAGTAGAATCCATCTACATTTAATATAGTAATAAACTATGCATAGTTAATATTGTTATAATTGCAATGATAAAACCAAGTCTTTCTGATTTCAATAATTGGTGTTCTCCACGAGGATTTCTTTCAAAAAAATTTTTTTAAACTTCAGTGGTAGAAAAGTTATTTTAAAAATGACAATAGCTGTGACTTCTTTTTATCATAAGGCTTCCCTTGACTCTATTCTCAATTGTAGGCAGGAAATGGGATTCAACAGCTGAAGATTGGGGCAGAGGGGAGAAAAGTGATGAACCAACTTGTAGAATGAAAAAACGTTTTGAATATTATATATAATACTGACTTCAATGCTTTGTCTTCAGCAATAAGCCTTTTTCCACAAAATATTTATGCACAACTATATTTAAAAATAATGAATAGTTTTAATGCAAGAAAATTGCCACATCTTTGCTTAGTATTACATTTCTGTAGGGAGAATTTTGTTATATTAAACTTCAGTTTTTCTGTTGAAGAAATAGACCTATATCAGAAAAACAAAAGTTAGAAAAATCAACTAATAAACTTAAATTTATTGATTAAAAAAATAGACCTAAGGAAGATGAAGGTTAATAAAGCCTCTGACTAAGGTTAACAGAGTCAACAGTCAGCACTTGAATAATTTATGTGATTCCCCAAGTTTGCTTCAAAGATGGTGAACATAGACAGTTGCCAGAGTAGAGCATAATTTACCTTCCTTCAAGCCCCATCACTATCTCCCTTCCCCCCAGTACCTGGTACCTGGTATGTGCTTCAGCAGAGCTTTTGAATGCATTTGATGAGTTGCATAGATGGTAGGGATTAATACTAATTTCCCCAACCTTGAAATGAGAGGACTGGACCAGAATGATCTTTATAACTGTTTGTAAGTCTATGCTACCTACTCCCCCCACAAAAAACAAACAATTTCAAAAAGTCTTCATCGAAAAGGAGTAAGTTAAACCCTAAGTAGATAGAAGGAAGAAATAATAAAGAGTTGAGGTCAATGAAATTAAAAACATACAAACAATAAAAAGAAAAATCAGTGAAACCAAAGCTGCTTCTTTGAAAACAAACAAAAAAAATTTAATGGATTTCCAGCTAAACTGATCAAGGAGAAAAAAGAGAGAAAACATAAATTACTAGTAACAAGAATAGACGTGGGGGCATCAGTACAGATCCTGTAGACATTAGAGGGATAATGAGAGAATATTATGAACAGAACAAGTCCATGTCACTAAGCTTGACAACCTAGATGGACAATGCTTAAAAAACAGAAATTACCAAAACATTCTCAATAAGAAATAGAATACATGAATAGATCTTCATCAATTTAAAACTGAATTAATAAACTTTCTATAAAACTCCAGACTCAGATCGCTTCACTGGTGAATTCTGTGACATATTTAAGAAAGAAATACCAATTCTACATAAACTCTTTCAGAAAATAGAGGAAGAGGGAACAATGAGATCTGCACAAAATACTGAAGGCTAAACCAGTAATGAGCTATCTATTCCATAAATGTTAAATGTCTTCTTCCTCTACCATAATCACTGATTAAATGGGTAAATATTTATTAAATACTGTTATGCTCTAGGTGCTCAGAGTACAGTGATCTTAACCCTGCTTTCTGGGAGCCCAGGATATAGACAAATAAACAAATATCATAGCACTGAATACTACGTGCTGTCCTGTAATAGAAATGCAGACAAAGAGCAGTCGAAACAAGGATAAGAAACTAACTGATTCTGCTTGGAGGGACTGGGAGATTTTTTAATTTTCACAAACAATTCAAGCAAACCAATTTACCAACCAAAGCTTCCCTAATTGCTTAAAGAACAAAAATTAAGCCTTTAATGGCTTCTCAACATACCAGTACCACTTCCCTTAGGCTACAACCACATAAAAACCTTATAAATTTCACACACACACACACAAATAGACTTTCAGTCTGGGCAATTAAAGCAGTAGTATTCTTTGGGAATGGTCGAGGTTTTGATACTTGATAAAATCTGAAGTTTACGCCTACATAACTCGAAATTGTCTCTGTATGTTATAGGTAGTTAGGGCTGGGGTACTTTTTTTTGGAATGTGTATATTTTTATGAATAAATTAACTACAATTGTAGAAAAACTATATAATGATGTGGTGGAAGAGGTGGCAATATGGGATAGAGAGGGTCAGCATGTGGACTTGAAGCAGAACAGTCCTGGATTCAAATTCTGACCCTGTGTCTTAGTGCTTAGGTGGTAGTAGTAGTGGGCAAATGAATTAATTCATCCTCTCTCAGTTTCCTCTTCTGTAAAATGGGAGTAATTACGATTGCCTTTTAGAGTGATCGTGAAGGTTAAATAAAATATTGCATGAATACTTCCTGGGACAGTGCCTGGCACATAGCAGGTCCTTCTGGGCTGGTGGCGCCTGTGATCGCTGCCACTGTTACCATTGCCATCGTGGTGATAATGATGATGATGATGACAATGATGTTCTTTGTTTTACTGCTGTTATTATTATAGTGTTTTGAGACCAGAAATAATCAAATTTTCTTCTTCTAGACACCTCCAAAAGATGGGTTTGTGATCGCAGACGTTCAGCCAGTTACAAGCAGTTCTCTGGAGGCAAAGCTGTCTCCTTCATTAGCTTTCCGGTCCTCGTCCTCTTTAAGAAAGAAGAACCACCCAGCGGAGAAAGATCTCCCACCCTGGCGATCCTCCGACAAGCATCCAACTGATATCATTCGCTTCAATTACCTGGACAACTGTGACCCCAACGAGCAAAGCTGGCAAGGGTGAGAATTGTACCCTCCTCCACTTCGTTGCTTTTAGAAACAATTTCCTATCTCTTCAGTCTATGGCTAGATGAAAACAGAACTTACTGTGAAGTACAAGTGCTGTTAACTACATAGAAGCAAAAAGTAATTGAAGAGTAAATGAACCACTATTGGTAAATTTGCCCTGTTCTTTAGGATTTGTTTGCATTTTGTAGCTGTAATGCTTCAACATTACAGCTTCTTTTAATATTTTAATACCTCAGATTCCAATCTAGCACCATAGGGTTCGTTCTAGTCTTTTCCTTCTCCATATCTGCACCTCCCTTCTCTGACAGTGAGATATATATATATATATATATACACACACACACACACATATACATACACACACATATATATACACGCACACATATAATTTTGATTTTATGTTATAGGTACATATATAATTTTGTATAAAAAGGTATTACATGTAGTATATACATAGAATATATATTGACTTACTAATTCTGAAACTAATTTCAGAATTGCTAACCCATATCATTATGAAGACAATCTACTAACTAGAATTCAATATTTGTTCATGGTTCTTTTTGCCTTTAGCCTTAGGGTGTATACTCATAAAACTGTGTTCAAAAGTTATGTGAATTCTTTCTTGAAAAAATATCTCCTTCAGCATGAGTATGTTACATGACTCTAAAGTTAAAACTTTATAAAATACACAAAAAATGTACAGAAGGCATGCCCAGAACAGCACCACACCCCTATCTCCTCCACACCACTTCTGCACTGTCACTTCGCCCACCCCTTCCCTCTTACCAATCCATAGCTTCTAGTTTATCCTTTCCATGTTGCTTTTTTGCACAAAGCTACCAAACATGCCATTTTTCAAATACCTGATTGGCAAAAACTTTAAAGTTTGACAATATATTCTGTTGGTGAGGCTGAGGACAAAGCAGTACCCTTGGACATTGCTTGTGGGAATATAAATTGGCACAAATCTTTTGGAGAAAAATTTTATAATATCCAGCAAAAAGTAATATGTGTTTACATTTTGACCCAGCAGTCCTACTTCAAGGAATAAACCTTGAAAATACCAAAAGTACATCAGCCCAAGTTTGTTTCTTGCAGCATTGTTAATGAGTCTGAAATATTGGAAATAAATGCTCAAAACAGTAGAGTGTTTGTTGAGTAAACTATGTATGGTACATTCACACAATGGAGCACTAAACAACTGTAAAAATGAATGAGAAAGACCTCTATGAACTGGTAAGGAGTGATTTCCAGGGTATATTGTTAAGTGAGAAACGCAGGTTGCAAATGAGTGCATATAGTGTCTCATGTACTCTCCAACAAGACTCAACAACTGATAATATTTTGCTATTTTTCTTCATCTCTCTGTGCCTCTATATATTACGTATTTTTCCCATGCCATAAGAAAGTAAATTGCAGACCTTCACCGCTAAATAAAAACTTCAACACTCATCTCCTAAGATAAAGACATTTGCCTACCCAACCACACTGGTATCATCATATCTTAGAAAATGAACAGTAATTCTTTAATATTTTAATACCTGGTCCATGTCAAATTTCTGCAGTTTTCCCAAGAATGCCCATTATAGTCTTTCTTTTTTGCACTAAACCCCACCTGAACCCCCGCTGCATTTGCTATGTCTCATATCTAGAACAGTTCCCCCACCTCTTTTTTTTCCCCTGTGGCACTGACCCTTTGAAGAGTCCAAGCATCTCCTCTATTTTGGTGAATATAGTGCATGTACTTTAAAAAAAATTGTAGAACTGTCTATTTGTCTTTTTAAGTCTGTTAATTTTTGCCTTATGTACTTTCAGGCTTTATAATTAAGTACATACACATTTGCAACAGTTATGTCTTTCTGTTTAGTTGATCCCTGTATCATTATGAAATCTTCCTCTTTATGTTTAGTAATACTCTTTGTCTTGATTCTATTTTATCCAATATTAATGGTCATTCTAGCCTTTTTATGCTTCCTCTTTGCATGGTACATCTTTTCTCATCACTTTATTTTTAAATCTAACTGTGTCTTAATGTTTAAGGTGTATCTCTTATAAAAGTTGGGGAAAATTTTTGAAAATCAAGTATCAGGAAATATTTGGGCAAAGCCGATCTTTTTCCAATAAAAGTTTTTTATAATAGAAATTCAAATATATGCAAAAGTAGAGAGACTAGAACTCCTTGTAACCATTACCCAGCATTTATAGTTTTCAGCTCGTGACCAGTTCATTCCTCACCCACTCTGCTCTTCCCCCAGTTTACTTTGGAGGCAAATCCAAATGTCAGATTATTTCATTCATACATATTTCAATGCCTATCCTTTACAGATAGACTCTGTCTAAAAATCATAACCTGATACCATACCACTTCTAATCAATGAATGATTTCTTAATAAAGTCAATCAAATACCAAGTCAGTTTTCAGGTTTCCTTGAATGTCTCATAAGGGTTTGATATTTTTAAACCATCAGTTTGTTTAATCAGGTTCCAGGTAAGACCTACATATTGCATTTGATCCATGTCACGTAAGTTTTGCTTTGTTTTGTTTTTGATCAATAGGTTTCCTCTTTGTCCTTTTTTTTTTTGTTCCCCCTTGCATGTTGTTTGTTATAGAAATCCGGTCATTTATCCTGTAAAACTTCTCACCTTCTGGATTTTGGTGATTGTCCTCCCAACACTGCAGCTGAACACGTTCCTCTGCCTCCTGTTCAATGTCACACTGGTAGTCAGATCTAGAGGCTTGAGTGTATAATGATCATATACTTCCATCATAAAGCACATAATTTCTGGATCAATGCCTTGGTCCATTATTTTAGGCAAACTTTTTCTGCAAAGGGTCAGACAGCAAATGCACTAGGCTTTGCAGGCCATATCCATATCTCAGTCACAGCTGCTCAACTCTGCCATCATACCCTGAAAACCACCATAGACAATATGCGAAAAGTAGGCATGACCGTGTTCCAATAAAACTTTATCTACAAAAATAGGCATGGGTCTGAGTTGCCCTCTGGGGTGTAGTTTGTGGATCCCTACTTTATCCTGTTATATGTGATAGTTTTAAAAAACAAATACTCATAAATACAAACACAGTTTAACATTTTTTTTTGGTAGGGGGAGGTAATTAAGTTTATTTATTTATTTATTTATTCTTAATGGAGGTACTGGGGATTGAACCCAGGACCACATACATGCTAAGCATGCGCTCTACCACTTGAACTATACCCTCCCCCCTTAAGATTTCTTTACCTTTGTTTTTGTCCTTACTACTAAGAATATTCAGACAAATTACTGTCTTAAAATCCCATGAAGTAATTCCTTTGTGTGGGGTAATGCCACCAACTTGATAGACAAGATCATTTGTTTCATCTTGTTTTTAGATTTTAGGAATTTTCTTCATTTTATTTTGTAATTCTGAGAAAAATTGAGATGGTTCCAAAGTCAAATACATAACAAGATGTATTTGGAGAAGTTTCGCTTTTGTTCCTACTCCTCCATATTATTGCTTGTTCCTGATTGGGAATCCTGCTTATAGCTAACTATTTTTCAAAGTGTTGTGGTACAGCCCTTCCAGTTAAAAAAATATAAACAAATACACACACACACACACACACACACACTTTCTGAAAGAAATGGTAGCACACATGACATAACACTTTATTCCCCTATTTTTCACGCACCAGTATGTCCTGGAGATCACTCCACAGTTACATCAAGAAGCATTCTGCCTTCCTTTCTCAAAGCTCATAGTCCTCAATTGTTGGATGTGTCAGAGTTTATTCAACCTGTTTCCTGTTGATGGACATTTGGCTTGTTTCCAGCTGAGTGAAAACAATCTTTTAAACCACAGGACCAACAAAATCAAGTGGACAAATAGCTATGCCAACACCAAAGCTTTAAAATAATATTTATGCTTTCTCCAATGCGTTCCAATTTACAGAAGAAGAAAAAGACATGAAGTGACCCTGGAGTTCAGCCAACAGTCACGTGATAAGAAAAAGAAATTGCAGGACAGATCTAAACTAAGAAAAGCACATTCACTGGTAAGTATTGCTTACAAAAGATTCTGCACCAAAGCGTTAATGAAAATTGCTGGATCTCTATTTGTGAGACTGAATTTGTTTTTTTTTTTTTATTGGAATCATCAAGTGATGGTTTAAATCCTGGTCTCTGACACTGACTGACAAGCTATGTGACCCTGATAATGTCCTTTATCTTAACTCTCTGAGCCTGTTTTCTCACCTGTTTGAAAAAAAAAGCTTAGATGAATTGATGTTTATGAATTTACTTTGAAACCTATACAATCTAAAGGGAACATTATTGTCATTGTTTCTTTCTTCTGCTGTGAGTCTTTTGGGGTGTTGGGGAGGGGGACCTATAGAAATTTCTGTATAGAAATTACTTCTCTATAGAATGAAGTTTCCATGGCTCTAAGAAAAAGGTATGCTTTCCATAGCGTTCCTGCTACCAGTGCAGCATGAGTACAAAAGTGCATTTCAAGTAACTTTGGGGAAAAAAATGAAGAACTTTCTTTCCCTAATTAAAAAATACCTAATTGACTACCTAATAAAGTCAGTGATTGGGACTAGAGAGCATTATTATTTGATAGCAGAGTTTCCCAGATTGTGGTTCTGTACCCACAATGGATTCCTTTCAGCACATCTGAGGGTCTTTGGAGCACAGTAGAAAGGAATAAAGGTGAAATAAAAAGTTCATAGTAGTCGTAAGGATAGAAAAGGGCTGAGGATATACACTCAAGGAACATTAATATCAGATGGATGTCCACTGGGAGAGCAGTAAATGTGTACTTATGAATAAATCACTTTTATGGCTCTCCTTTAAAGCCCAATTACTTTCTGTTTAAATGCATTTCAAGTGTTATGTTCCAAAAAAAAAAAAAAGGAGAGAGAGAGAGAGATGAGCTTTTAAAAATAGAGTATCCTGTATTCTGAGGGGCCAATTTTGTTGGGCTGGATGAGGCTTATCATAGACATATGTACAAATGCCCAGGGGATGGGGGAATCTTAAAACAGAGCAGTAAAATTGTCAGTGAAAACCATTCATTGAGGGAAGTAACTTGAGGAGGATTATCACCTGGGCCATTCAGTCGTGCTTCTGCCTGGCTCCCCAGCCCCTCCGAGGCCAAGAGAAATCTGAAGGAGAACAGGAAATTTGAAGGGCGATCGAAGTTGATCCATAAGGTATGCTTACAAATCATCCACACAGTTGAACGTTTTTCCAGCTTAAAAAGCAAAATAAAAACAAATAAAATCAAAGGCTAAACAGAAGCCTTCCCTGTGGATTTTTGATGGTCACCGTCTGTCACACAGGAGCCGGGCTTGCTTGAGTTAAAATAATCATTATAAATTGAAAACTTTACAAGTTGTGCGAATGAAAGCTGAAAGGGAAACCAGGGCAAATTAGACAATGGTGGAGAGCAGTTAAGCTGTTAACAAATGAAGTGCGATTGTGTTGATCTACGTGTTTATGTAAATATGCTAATTAGCACCACTGTTGCTGCTTAGTAGTTTGGCTAAGGTGCATAAGGCACAATTAAACCCTCCAAAAGTAAGCAGGGATCTCTGACTCCGTAGCGGTGTCCTCCGGATAAGCAGGGCTGTTTGGGCCACAGGCTGCATGTAACTAAGGCCCCCCCGACACATGGTGGCACGTAAGTGGGCCACACAGCTCTGAGGAGATGAGCAACCTCCTATTCGAGGTAAGGTGCTTGTAAAAATGAAGAAATGCTGGATGTGGGGCCTGAGAGGAGAGGAAATGGGGATTGAGGAAATTCAGTGAGAGGACCTAGGAGAGCAGGGAGCAAATGAAACTCTGACAAGTGTGCAGCTGCGGAGCCCGGGTGTGACTGCAGCGGAGAAGATCACACACTCTTTTGATACAAAGTTCTTGCATCATTTAGACAGGTTTATCGAGGAAGATTCAGGAGGAACTAGACAAACAGGTGAGCCGGCAAAACTTAGGGGAACACGTTGTGAAGACAAGAATGAGACACAGATTGCCAAAGCCTGATGGGTAGGGGAGCACGAGGCCCTTGAGTATTCCTTAACCCCTCTAAGCCGAAAAGGGGCACGTGATACTGGGAGAAGCTAAAGCTTGTGAAATGGAAGAGTCCAAAGAATACTCCTTAGGTCATCTCTCTGGGGCGTGGCTGTCAGGCCACCGCGCGACATCTTCACTTTTTGCCTGTCATTACTGAGTCTTCAAATATGAGAGTCCTCTCCAAAAAGAAACATTCTCAGGGAAACAGTTGCGAATCCACATATGTTGCTGTGAGTTGGTGATGTTTTCTGTTACTATTAGGTCTGAGTTTTCAAAACCTCCCCCTCTCCATCCAAGGCACCTGATTTCCTTTTCTTCTAATTCCAGTACTGCTTCATCACAGCCGCTTCACTGAACCACCTTTTGGTGTGAATCCTTGATAGAAGATAGAAGCCTAGATCTGATCATTAATGCTTTGCAATTTTGAAGGTCTTTTTTTTTTAAGTATATAAAATAACAAGAAATGCCTGCTACCATTAGTTATTATTTAAAAAAAATTCCATACAGAACAAAGCAATTAAAAAATATAAACACTGAGGCATAGCCGGGTACCATCTTAGATGTCAGAGATTTTCCCATCTTGTGTAAAGATGTGAAAAAAATTTTTTCTTTTCCAAACTCTCAACAGCTGGCCCTGTGAGTCCTCTTCAGGAAGGGGAAGGGGAGCTGGGGTCGGACTATAGAGGAGGGAAAACCTGTCTGGCCGCCGGCTGGAGATTAAAGGGAGAGTTGTTGTTTCTGCTCCTGCCAGGGGAGGGCGGGGGAGCAGAGTTGGGGGAGGAAAGAGAGGACGAGGAGAGAGAAGCCAGCCAGACTGAGAGAAGCTGAGACCAGGCAGGGGAGCGGGGTGGTCAGTGGTAGGTGGTGCGCCATCTATGCCCATCAAATTAATTTGGCTATTACTGGGATGTAAACCCTGACTTCCATCTCTATAATAAATTTTACTCAGTTTACACATGGGAGCAAAATCTCTAGAAACCAAGAAAACGAAAGCCCCTCATGACAATTCATAAAAACCAAGGGGGTGGGCTTCGGACTCCCCAGGCCCTGGAATTGGAACTCCCAGGACCCCAGCTGCCATCTTGTTTCAGGTCTTTTGTTTTTTTCTTTTTCTATCAAGTTAAGTATAAAAACAGATACCTTTTGTCTCACACTGAACTTTTTCTTGGAGATTAGAAGTCCTCACTTTCTAGGTGCTGATTTGGCCAAGGATTTCAAAAAGCTTGCTGTTCACAGCGTTAACAGAAGCCGCTAATTGCCTGCTTACTCTAATTGCTTTAGATAAGACCTTATCTTTTCCTCGCTCTGCTGACTCCAGCCTCTGCAGTTACCTTCTTGACTGCCTTCCAGGAAAACTTGATTCTTAGTGTCCTGATTCTTTTAAAAACTCTTCTTTAAGCTTTCTCACTCCCACCCCTCCTCCTTCTGGGTCAAAAGAGGAGGAAAAAAGAGTATCCTCGAAAGTGATTCCTGGTTTATGTCCTGGAAAGAACAATGGTTTAAGAATCAGGAAACCCTGACTTCTAGCCTCACCTCTACTGTTAAATGGCAGCCACGCACCCATTTGAGTTTTCATTTCCCCACTTATAAAATGTTTAAACTACATCTTTAAAGTCCATTCCAGGCTAAAATATGGAGCTGCAGACCACAGGTCCTCTCTCCCATCTAGTACTTTAGGGACACTGTTGTGACTAAAGTGACTTTACCTAGAATACCAACAAATAATCCAGCATATTCATGAATCCTAATTAGAAACCGATGGAAACTGGTTTGTCTCCCATCTTTTTCTTTGAACTTTAGAAAACATAATTAATTAGAACAAGAGAATTTACAAAACAGAGTTTACACAGTGGCTTCCTTGCAGGCAATCTTTAATAGATTTCTTCCAAATTCTAACGAACTGCCCCCACCCCCATGTTTCTTTTATAATGTCTATTTGGTTTAGATGTGCAGAACTAAAAATATCTAAAGGAGAGATTTTTAATGATTCAGTTCAATCAGTGAAATTCCTGAGAATGCTATTTGGAAAGAAGAATCAGAAAGAATATGGGATTTGCTGTCGGTGAGACTTGGGCTCTTTTACTAAGCAGTGCAACTTTGGATAAGTTACTTAACCTCTCTGAGCCTCAGTTTCTTTATCTGTAAAATGGGACTAATGATACCTCCCTTGCAGGACTGTGGTGAGGACTAAATGCCAGGTATTTTAAGTGTATCTTAAACACTCAATACATGTTTGTGTTCTCCCCTATTAAATACCATCTTATTTTTCACTTTGCTGACCAATGGCCCAGGATTGGGACTTAATCAGCCTAGGTTCAGTGCCTAAACAATTTTAACAGCTCGCTGAGTCGGGCCAACTTATTAACAATCTTGGAGGCTCTATTTCCTGGTCTGTAAAGTGGTGTTAGTAACAACAGTGCCGAGCTCAAAGTAAGCACTCAGTAACTGGTAGCCAGCAGAGGTAATAGTAGCCATAGTAGCCATGGAATCACACCAGACCCCCGCTAAGCTGGCAAGGAAGGGTGGGAGAGCACGGATGCTGAGAGCTGCAAGAGGCTGATGGGGGTCGGCCAGGTGGCCAGGAGGAGGCTCCAGCCTGTGGCATAAGCTTCTCCTTCTCACTTTTATCTTAAATTCCCCACTTTTCTTTATCTTTCTCCTTTGTCTTCTCCCTCACAGTTTCTGCTGTGTAAAGATGGTTGCATCCAGAGCTGTACAGAAACATAAGTCATCTATTTTCTTTTCCTGCACAACCTCTGTAACATCTTGTGCCTGCTCATTCCTCCTCATCCGTGTCGGGATTTCTATTCCACGCTCCCAGACTGGGATAATGTGTGTGTAGTTAAACTCAGTGCCATGAATTCTGTGCTGTGTGCCCTCCGCTGCCTTCTAACTACAGTGCTGGCTCTTGTTAATTTCTGATACCTACGAGAAGAAAATGCCTAATGGCTAAGAATCCTGAGGGCAAAATTAACTCTCAGGCAGGACCCCTACTTAGAGTCTTTGCATTTCTCCTTTGCCTCTAAGAGAGCATAGTTTACCTGTTCTGTCTTGTGGCCCTTTGTTTTCTCACTCTGTGCATCGTAAATTACCCTGGCGTCTCCAACAAGACTGATTCTACCTGCTCAGGAGGGAGAGCGAGGCGAGAGGTATAAATCCAACAGTTGAAGATTTAGGCACTGATTGCCCAGAAGGTGGGCCAAGAACAGAACCCCAGAGAATGCTGATGTATAACATGTGGCTTTGTGTAGATGTGATAGCAACATGGAGAGACACTACTGGGGAAACCTCTCTAGGAAAAGAACCATAAATTCAACTGATGAGAAAAATGCATTCAGATTACCTGATTCCATCCGGTATCAGACCAAGGAAAGGAATACTCTGTGATGATGCTCCAGTCCTAGGATTACTGGTAGATTGCGTGGCTGTTGGCATCCTAAGCCCGTCAGAAAACAGGAGACAGCAGGCAGACCTGCTGAATGTAAAGATGACTTACATCAGCATTGTTTCTAGGAGCAAAAGATTGGGAACAGCTCAAACAGCTGTCAATATGGTTCATCGGTAAATGGATGAACATTTACCGATGAACCATATTGTACATAGTACAACCGTTGAGAGATTGAGGAAGTTCTTTAAGTTTTGATTTGTAACAATCACACACATACACACACACACACCCATTAACATACTATCATATATATATAGTGAACAAAAAGTGATGGTGTTTATAGTATAACACCAATGGTATCAAAAAGGAGATGGGGAGGATATATTTGCATCTTATATGTCTATTTGCTTGCAGTGCATAAAATATCTCTGGAAGGATACACACAAAAAAGGATAATATTGGTTGCAGAAGGGAACTGAAGGGCTGGGAGATGAGGTGGAGGGAGGTGTTTCACTGTCCTTTTTTGTTTATTTCCAGTGCTGAACTATGCAGAAAAGTAACCTATTCAAAAATTAACAATTATTTTAAAAGACAGAGAAAAGGGGAAGTCAGAGGAGCTGTAGGAAAAGGTCTTGAAGGAAGAATGTAGGACAGAACGGTAGTAAAATAAGCCTCGCCTGGTCTCATAGTGCTCAGAAGTTAAAATAAACCACTTGAAATAAGGTTCAACCATCCTGCTAAGATAGTCCCTATTGTTAAGTCTCTGTGCTGGGGAGATGGAGTTGTCTGGGGCAAGGAAAGAGAGGGGTTTTCACAGCAAGGCAGCAAAGATGAGCAGGAAGAAAAAGGTTTGATGAGTCCCAGTGTGACAGAAAAAACCAACCTTTCCCTCCCATTGTAGGGGAAAATCTCAGTTCAGCCTATCTGTTTCTTTTACTTCGCATGCAGAATACTCATACTTCCAGTACTTCCGGTCACCAAATGGGTGGGGGTCTTCCCCACACCAAGCAATTCTCTGCAACACCAGCTGAGTGTCATACAATTTAACTCAATTCTGGCACTGTCTACCTGGAGACAGCTCAGATCCCACTGGTTAAGGGCTCAGTCTCCCAAGACTCCCCTCCCTCCCACCTCAACACACACTTCAGTCACCTGTCACAGCCTAGGTTATCACTTGTGCTTCTGACCAACCAGCTATAGATCAGAGGTTCCAACTGTTACCAAGAGAAGGTTCTTGTCTTGCGCAGGAAAGAATTCAAGAGTGAGCCATAGAAAAGTGAAAGCAAGTTTATTTAGAGAGATACACATTCCATAAACAGAATGTGGTTCATCTCAGAAGGGAGAGTGGCCCTGGGGTATGGAGATGGTTAGTTTTTGTGGGCTGGGTAATTTCATATGCTAACATAGGAGGATTATTCCAACTGTTTTGGGGAAGGGGCAGGGATTTCCAGGAATTGGGCTACTGCCCACTTTTTGACCTTTTATGGTCAGCCTGGGAACTGTCATGGTGCCTGGGAGTGTGTCGCTTAGCAGCTAATGTGTTATGGTGAGTGTGTAAGGAGGCTCAAGGTCAACTGGAAGTCAAATCTGCCATCTTGGGACTGGTTGGTTCTAACCAGTTTATATTGTATCCTAAACGGCTACATCATTCTTTTAATGGTTGTGCCCTGCCCATCTCCCTCCTGTCTCACAACAACACCCTCCTTGGGTTCAATTAATGTGCTAGAGCAGCCCACAGAACTCAGAGAAACACATTTCCCAGTGTATTAAAGGATATGTTAAAGGACATAGATGAACAGTCAGATGAAGAGCCACTTCGGGCAAGGTCTGGAAGGCTCCCAAGCACAGGAGCTTCTGTCCCCATGGAGCTTGGGTTTGTCACCCTCCTAGTGTGGATCTGTTACCCGAAAAAACTGGGTTTGCCTCTTGGTGGGTGTCGAGCCAAAAGACACAATCAAGTCAAAGAGTGGGAGAAGGAAGGATTCATTATTACTTGCAGCAAGGAAGGAGAACACTGGGGATCTTTCCGAACAAAGCAGTGTCTCCCCAACGGCAAAACTGGGGAGGTTTGAAGCCAAGGGTACATGCATATTCATGAAGGGGCTTAAGTAGAGGAGAATTTACCATAGAATTGGGGCCAAGATTGATAGAGTCCAAGCCTTAGTTGATAGAAGTCAAGAGGATCAGAAAAGATCAACGTGGTCCTTCCATCCTCGACCTGGGTGGGGGCCTTAGATTCTGCACGACTGGCAGATAAGTATCAGATTGTAATATCTAGGACTCTGTCTTGTCACTGAGCTGTTGTTTCTTGATTGCTTTTCCTTTGTTCCCTTAAGATCATTAGTTACTGAGACCTGTTTAAGGGCATTCACTGTGGCCAGGCTTGGATCACAGTGACTTAGGCCAAAAATGGCTTCTCCTGTGTCAAGAGAGCCATGCCTGGTTCTCAGTACCCAATGTTAGTAAAAAAGAAATTTCCAGCTATTTCGACCAGATCATCAAATGCTCAGGACCAAGGTCCAAGAGTGTCAGATTTGTATACTTTTTTATACCTTCCCCATATTTTCCCCTTAAGTCTTGTCTTTTTTCTTGTAATAGTGGACATTAAAGTCTTAAAATGAAGAGGGTCTGCGAGCTTGTTTTCAGGGACAGTGAGGAAGTTAGGTGTAGGGAGACCATTTTCCAGAGCCCATCTAAGAAGGATGAGAAATCATGGTCTGCGTAGGTGGTGACAATTACCAAGAGGAGAGGAGGGGAGTGGGGGAGCCCCTGGGACCTGCCACAGTGAAAAAAGAGAACTTGAGAGCAGCCTGCCTGGGCCTGTGAACCTCCCCGGGGGACTTAGGAGGAAAGGGTTCCTCAAATACAGTGAATAAATAAGCTTTGCACTGTAATAGGATTAAACTTGAAACTGTTACAGATGAGGTGTTACTAGCCCATTCTTGTATCACAGAAACCTAGACTTCTTCTTCATTCAACTGGTATTATTTTATTCTCATTGTTCCTAAAATAGCGCAAAGGAACGCTTCTATTTGTCATCTTACCTTAGGCTAATCTTAGAACAACGCTGAAAATGCTCACTGGACGCCGATCTTAAAGCAACACTGAAAACTTCAAACATGGGAAGATGCTTTACTCCCATTCCTCCTCCCCCTCCTCTTGGATTCTAACAACCAGCTTTGTTTAACCCCAGTTTTGCCTACTCTTTCCCAGAAAAGTCATCAGCAAATATGCATAGATCTCACTCTAGGGAGGTACCAAGTGGGTATAGGATGCCAGCTTTGCTCTCAGGGAGCTGACAGCCTCATGAGGAGGCAAAAAAGTTACATTCAGAAACCAGTACTACAAATATATGTATGTATAAGTATGACTGAAACATTATACAGTACACCAGAAATTGACACGTTGTAACTGACTATACTTCAATTAAATAAAAAGAAGAAAGAAATGAGTATTAACACTCAAGGGCGTATGTTCAGCGCCAAGTTAGGAGTCGGGATAATAATGGCTTCAGGAATGCCGCTGAGGCAGAAATCCTTGAGGGTCAAGACACTCAAGCCTCTTGGAGAAGGTGGGCCTCCAGACAGACTTAGAGAAGGAGTAAAGAGAGAAGGTGAGGCAAGTTGGGGGTGAAGGGCGCCTCTGGAAGGAAGGGGAGGAAGAGGGACCTGACTCTTTGGAGGCAGCAGTCATTGGCTGAGGCAATTTCTGATTCAATGAAAGTCTAGAGTAGGATTTCCCCCAGGTTAATAGAAAGCCTGTGTGCTGCGAGCATACCCATCAGGGCGTTAGAGGGATGCAGCGGGTGATCTGACTGCTGGGACCTACCAGCTGAATATGGAGTCACAGGAGGGGGCCAGCACTCAGGCAAGGCTTGGCCTCTGTACATCTGCCGAATCTCCTCTGTCAGTCTGCATGCAGTTGGGGCCAAGAGGAGGGTGAATGCACGAGGGAAGATCCCTCCTGCTCCCTGCAAGCTCAGCTGGTTTTCTTTCTTTCCCTTGCTCTCTCATTCTTTCCTCTTCCGGTCCTGCTCATGGCCAGATGTTGAGGAGAAATCCTTTCTCACTGTGAGTTTCCGTTGGAATGTCAGCCTGTGGCGTTAGCCTTTTGTGTGCATGGGCAGATTAGGGAGTATCAGAGGTGGGAGCTCCACCAACGCCCACCTGGTCTAAGTGTCACAAGTCTCCCCACCCAGTTCTAACACCTGTAGCTCCGTGAACTTGAGCTGGCACTTGACCTACCTGTCCTTCAGTTTCATGTACTCATAAAACAGAGATGTTAACCCCTCCCTCCCTACCTCGCAGAATTTTCTTGAGGTTCAAATGAAACATGGTTGTGAAAGCCCTTTGGAGACCAGGGAGCTTGTTATTTGTAGCCCAAGGTGAAGAATGCATGAGGGGAAAGGTGGGGAAATTGGCAAGTCTCAACAAATCCCATTCAGCCCTATTTATAAAATTGTTTTTTATCCTTAAGTTTAATGATACAGCTTCCACTGATGTTTTAACGATGCTCACTCTAGTGATATCTTTTTCGTCCCCAGATCTCCCTGAGTGCAGAGCTCAGCTCCCCTCTGCATGTTTCAGCCCATCCTGCCTGGCCTCCTCCTCCGTCAGTGGGGCTCCCAGCCACCAAAGCAGCAACAAAAACTCTCCTGCAGCATCTCCAGAGACACTCCGGGCTTCAAGCATTACCCCAGGCCTTATAGCCGAAGATGATTTAAAGATGTGAAAGGACTTCTCTAGAAATGACACGACGCAATGCAGGTTGGAGAGTTGGATGTTCCTTGGCTCCTCTGTTAGAAATAGTCTAGGTACCTCATTGTGCAAGTGATACAGTGTTTCAGTAAAAAGTATTCATGACACGAAGGTTGACATATTTATAAACTTAGATAGAAATGTTGAGGATACCATGGGGTTGATAAAGGGATGGATGAGGCAGGGTCCTGGAAGCCAGCACACTCCCAGGGCTGCTTGAGCAGTTTAAAGATGGGGCTGTTGACCGTGATGTCTGAGTTTGTCATGGCTGTCATAACAAAGTGCCACTGGCTGAGTCCGTTCTGGCCGCTATAACAAAACACCCCCTGATGAGTAGCTTATAAACAGCAGATAGTTATTTTCTCACAGTTTTGGAGGCTGGACGTCCATGATCAGGGTGTCAGCAGGGTTGGTTTCTTTTGAGGCATCTCTCCTTGGCTTGCAGACGGCCACCTTCTCCCTGGGTCCTCACACGGTCTTCCTTCTGTGTGCATCTGTGTCCTCATCTCTTATTATAAGGACACAAGTCAGACTGAATTAGGGCCCACCCATATGACTTCACTGAACCTGAAGTACCTCTTTGAAGACCTTATTTCCAAAGACAGTCACGTTCTGAGGTCTTGGGGGGTGAGGACTTCAACATAGGAACTTGGTTGGGGGGATGCAGCTCAGCCCATTAACGCTCCCCATGGGCAGGGCTAAGAGAATCAAGACGAGCTGGCGAGGCACCTGGAAATTAGCAACAGCGGAAACCTTTCTCCTTCAGCCTGGAAGCGCGGAAGAGAAAGGTCATGCTATTCCTAGAATCCAGTAAAGTGGAACCCCGGAGTGGGCCACCCAGCTACCAGGCACAGAGTAGTACACAGCACAGTGTGATCACCGTGGAAATCAGGGCCTGGCAGGGAGGAAAGAGGAAGAAGTCAGAGAACAGAGAAGCCTGCAGGCTGCAGCTGGTCAATGTCAGCCTTTGAGGCGGGGAGTGGGGCCGACGGGTGTGGCCGGGAGTGGGCGGGGAGGGCGAGGATTTGAGGAGGACAATGAGAAATAAGCAGCTGGTGGAGGAGCCGCAGTAGACATTTCCAAAGGAGGAATTACGATAGCAATTCAGGCAATGTCAATGGGCTTTAAAGAGTTACTGAAGAACAGAAAATGCTACTTAGCTGTGAAGATATTCATCGTACATTCTCAACTCAGCCACCTACTCCTGTCACCATTTCAAGGTCCCAGAAGTTGCCATTCTAGGATACTTATTTGGGTAAGTAAAGCAGAATGGTAGAAAGACAAATATGTTTGTCAATCATGCCATGTTGAGCACTTATGTTCTTATTCTGTATACTGTAATGTGTGTATTTTTGAATGGTTTGAAATGGTGGCCTGGCGGGATGGCCCAGGATACAGTGGTTTGGATACCTGAATGATCGGTGGAGACAAAACACGACCAACTTACAGTGGATTCCTGGTTTGCACCTCCCAGGGTGAGGCTAACGTGTGGCACTGAGAGAAGAAGGAAAACACGCCAGGAGTGAGACCTGCTGTTCTTCCCACGCGCGAAGCAGACAGCTGTCAGTTAGCTTCCTCTTCCGGGGGCCTGAGCCCACACGGT